CTAATTTCGCCTAACGATCATTTCGCATAACGGTCATTTCGCCTAACCGTCATTTCGCATAACGATCATCTCGCATAATTTTCATTTCACCTAACGGCCATTTCACATAATTTCCGGCATCAGCAGCCGATGTTATTTATAACTCTCTTTTAGTAATTAGCAATCGATGCAAAAACTCATGCCCCTAGAGATATACGTCTTTTTTGAAGGGCTTTGCCAAAAATGCTACCTTGTAGATAGTATCCCTGTGCAAACTAGCAAATCTGACCGCAAGTCTAGGTCAAAAGCATTACATTGATTGCAGATGCGGAATCTGGGTAAAAGGTAGCTAGGCATTTGGGTTGTCTTACACTGTGACTGCACTTCGCGTCATCAAAAATGTCTTGTTTTGCTTCTGATTGATACTGACTAAAAATTATGCAAAATAAACGTTATACGAGATCATCGTTAGGTGAAATGAAAATTATGCGAAATGATCGTTATACAAAATGACGGTTCGGCGAAATGACCGTTATGCGAAATACTCGTTAGGTGAAATAAGCGTTATGCGAAATCACCGTTATACGGGATAACCGTTATGCGGGATCGAAATTATGCGAAATAGCGTTATGCTAAATGGTAATCATGCAAGATAAAGAAATACCCTATAGACTAGGCCTTGACAGCTACCTGCACAATGATTAGTGTATCAGAATTTTCCTTGTTTGTGGAAAACACTGTTCATCGGGGATCTGGTGTAGCGTCTGCCTGTCCGCTAACATGCATCCCGGAACAAAGCCCTGTGCACTTAAAGGGAGCGGGTAGTGCGAGAATCGACCCTTTCTGGCGACTGGATCTTGACAGCTACGCGCGACGCTAAATGACCTTTGGAAGCGCTAGGATTTGTGTCGTTTGGTTTATGTCGAATTTTTCCTTTTGGATAGGATGCGTCTAGTACCCGGCGGCTTATTTTTGACGGGACTGGAAAGCACTGTAATTGGCTCTCTCTCCCTGCCCGCTAGTTGTTGACCACTACGCGACGCGTCAAATACTCGTGCAAGCGTAGGCAAAACTTTTCATAGAGGGCGATCCAAAACCAATAAAATACAAAAACGACTCATCCGAATTCCATCGCAAATCTGGTTCAAAGAAATGAAACAAGAAGAAATCCAACCAAAGCGAGCCGAATCCTATTAGTTTAGGTCGGAAGGCACTGTGCATAGTAGCGTTGCGGAAACTCGGCAAAACTCCAATCAATTTCCTATAAACCATTCATTCCCCGTCTGTTATAAAGCTGTGAATTGCATGTTTGATTGGCTTGTAGTTCGGAGTCTGTGCTGGCTCCAAGCGGATTTTGAATCGGCGGCGGCCGATCTGGGCTCCCGGCGTCTTCTGGGGTTTTTGGAGCGTCCCTGGGCGGCTCCTTAAAAATTTATCTTTCTCTCTCTCGCTCGCTCTAAGATTAAAGCTTAAAATCAGACCTCATCCTTGTACTTTGCGTTTTTTGCGCATTTGCGAGGTTTTTTTGCCTCTAAAATTCCCTCACTTTTTCGTAATTGCCGTACATCAGCGTATTTTGGTTTAGGAATGCCTTACGTAGCATTTTCCAAGTCTGGGATCAGCGATATTTACAATTAGGCACCAGATTTCCGCCTCCGCTTTCCGTGGCACTCCTCTTTGCGCTCTTTTCCCCCCTTCCGCTCGCTATCCCTCACTTTTTGAGGGTCAACCCGCCGAAAACAGATAAATTCCTGGGTCGTTTTCGGATCCTCCGCAAAATTTGGGATGAATCCCAAATTTGAGACCGGTCTGGCCAAAGAAACGTGGTGGAATTTGAGGTCGTGAGGTGAGAGTGCAACTTTCGCTTTTCCTATTTTGAAACGTGCGGATAGTGGAAAGTTTTTATAATCCGAGGGGTCGAGATTTAATGAAATTTGTGGAAAATGCCTCCCTCGCTTCCGCTTTTCTTTTTTTTAGGGCTTTTCTTATTCTAAACGGATGTTTTGCTCTTCGGAAATTTGGTGGTTATAGTACTGTGTTGTAGCGCTTCCTAGTGCGTTTGAAGCGGAAATCGTAGCCAGAAATAGTGTGACGCCGCAGAATAGATACCATAGCCGAAAATAACGCCGAAATAACCTTAGAAATACTTTTAAAAAGGCTGAGACGCGAAAAATCTAAAATAAATGCCAGAATACACGCGCTAGCGCGTTGAAACCCGCGCTGCGCGGTGTACTACGGCGCGCATCACGGCTACGCATAGCGCCTATGGACACTTCCGTAACGTTTTTTCCCTTGGTCTATCCATCCAGGATCAGCATCAAAGCGCTTTTAAAGGGACAAGGCATAGGTATTGATTTTAGCTTAAAATACCTTAAGATGAGTAGGATACGCTAGGATTTTTCCGCCGCACGATACGCAACGCTTAGACGCACGCGCGCACCAATTGAAAAAGTATCTAAAGCAAAGCATAAAATCCATAGGTTGCCTTGCCAGCTCCTTTAAACGGGCCAAGTCGGATAATCCACGCTCGCACAAAAAAATGTCCTGCGTCGTTCTCCTCATCGCGTAGCTGTCGAGACCTAGCCGCGGTCGTGGGTCGATCCTCACACTTCCAAGCCCCTTTAATCTCGATCAAATTTCCGGCACACTCCGCAACAACTTCCCGCTCCTTACACTTGATCGCCTCGACGTTCACGGGACCCAGTTTTTCCCAAAGACCCGTCAAATAATTGATGAAACAAATCTGGGCTGCGATCCCCCAAGAATTCACTATTATTCCATGAAGCGTAGAATCTCGGCAAGGACGAATAAGAAATTAGATTTGTGTGTGGTGTGTGGGCGAGTAGTGCAACGTAGTGGGGGTCCAATTTTTTTGGTCACTAACTTGACTCGCTTATGCTTGAGCGCCCCGTTGTCTTCTTCAAGCCAGTTGGCCTGCAGAAGAGTTCCGATTTTTACGCCAAAGAAAAAAAATAGGTGCGCGGATGTGGGCGTCTTTTATGGGTTGATGAATGGGCGGAAGGAACGGAACGTTCCGTGGTAAGAAGCGGAAAGATTTTGGCTTTAGGCCCCATGAAAGCACCGTGATCTTTGTTAGCTTAAAATAACTTATTGTTATATGATAGCATTAAAAATTGAATCATGAAAAAAATTGATTTTTTTGCCGCTGTAACGGCTACGGTAGCTTAATGTTATGTAAATTTGTGCTGGAATAACTTGTCTTTTCTGATTTTTAATGCGTTTTAAAAATGTCCCTGGTGTCTTCATATTTCGCTGACGTTTTGAAATCAATTTTACCTTATTTAACCGCAATTTTTTCAATTTTTCTGTGGAGTCCAGACTCATTAACGATACCTGAAAGTCCAGGGTGTGACTTTAGAATCCATAATTTACGGTTTTTAGTCCTATTAGTGAATTTATTAAGACGAAAATAATTAGGAAAATACCTTGAACAGAAACTTCCTTGTTCCCTAAAAGAAGCACTGATTAAAACCCGCTATACAGACAAATTGTTATTTTTTTGAGAAACTTTACCCTTAAAATAGAGCTGTTATTAGTGCTGCGCTGCAAAAATCACCTTTTCTTCCAAACCAATAATTTGTCTGCAAACTTCCGCAAAAAAAGTTACCAAAAAATAGCGTAAAACGCTGCTATGCGCAGTGCTCAGCGATTTGCGCTCATATGAAAAATGGAATCGGAAAGTTATGAGCCTAAAGCGAGAAAAATGAAGAGAAATAACACTATAAACTAAATCTTGAATTCCAGATACATGGACGGGTTGAGAGACTACCGTAACCCGGCGTATGCCCCGCGCATCCGGGATTCTGGCGAGAAAATGGCCGCCCAGGAAGAGGCACCCAGCAGAACATCCGATTATAAGGTTGGTGGCAGACAAGAAAAATTGCGGATTTGAAATTTTATCTTTGTAAAGGGACTGGAAAGGTGAAAAAATCGACCTCCTTTATCCACTAGGTCTCGACAGCTACCAGTTGCCCCAAAAATTGTTTTACATCGAATTTTACACCCGTCTTTTTGCAGGAAAAATATTGTGGCATTTGGGGCAAATTCAAAATAGAACGCAGGTGCCTATTGGAGTGAAGCGTAGCTGTCGAGACCTAGGGGACCGGTGGGGTCGATTCTCGCGCTCACCACTTGCTGTAGAACATGATTAGACGATTTATGATTTATAAACTAGGTGTATGGGTGGAATATTTTAGAAAAATTTTGTTTTTCCCCGCCTATTTCACCTATCGTTTCGGAAAAAATATCCTAATTTTTTCGACCCTAAATAAAATTTAAAAATTAAGCTCAAAGCTAAAAAGAAAAATTTACGAATTTTTTTCATAATTACTAGACGATAAAAGAAGCTTGTATTTTAAAAATCTGCTAACAAATCTTTTTTTTTAATATTTGAGACATTCTAAAAATCAGCTGATCCACTTTTTCAGGTGAAACGCTTCCGGCCGTGCTTCTACTCGCCGATCCAGTGCCTCATCAAGAAGTAAAAAACACGAAAAGCACTGGCAAAAAAGTACAATTTCCCCCTCCCCTCTTCCACCCAGTCCCAACGCGTAGAAATTGGTTGTTTTTCTGACTGGCCAAAAATCGGCGAGACCAAGAAGCGTAGCTATTGCCCCATTTTGCCTTCCTTTCTGCTATTTGGTGCCCCTCCATATGCCCTGCTATATGCTATACTCGCGCCACATCCAGGATTTCCGCCCAGCCATAGTCTATATGGGCCTTGCGTAGGGCTACCAAAAACCCAATAAATGTCTGCCTGTTCGTGGAAAATACATCTAAAGGATATAGTAAAATACAGAATCGATATATTGAGGTTTAAAGGGGCTGGAAATCGTAAGAATCGACTTTTTCTATAGACTAGGTCTCGACAGCTACCTGCACAATGATTAGCGTATCAGAATTTTCCTTGTTTGTGGAAAACACTGTTCTTCGGAGATCTGGTGTAGCGTCTGTGCATAGTAGCGTTGCGGAAACTCCGCAAAACTCCAATCAAATTCCTATAAACCATTCATTCCCCGTCTGTTATAAAGCTGTGAATTGCATGTTTGATTCGGTTGTAGTTCGGAGTCTGTGCTGGCTCCAAGCGGATTTTGAATCGGTGCCGGCCGATCTGGGCTTCCGGTGTCTTCTGGGGGCTTTGAAGCTTCTTTCGCCGGCTCCTAAAAATATTCTCTTTCTCTCTCTCGCTCCCGTTCTCACTTTCTCTCACTCACTCTCTCTCTCTCTCTCTCTCTCTCTCTCTCTCTCTCTCTCTCTCTCTCTGTCTCTCTCTTTCTCTCAAAAAAACCTAAAATCTGACCTCATCCTTGTACTTGTCGAAAATTCTCTCCAACTTGACGCACTTCACGAACGGATCTTCGTGAAGTATTGCGTCAGCACTTCGCGCGCCACCCTGAAATTGAAAAGCTCAATTAAAAAAAGTTTTTAAGCGGAGTTCCAGCAAAATGAGCGATTTCAAGGCGGCAAAATTCGCAAGCAAGGCATACTGTACCGAGTAGTGTAGCGGAAAATAGCCTGGTGGTGGTAACTGTTTGGGAATTTTGAAAAAATCAATAATTTTTTACCTTTAATCCTTTTAAGCTATTCACGGTTAGCTGCTCCTCATCTTCCTCCAATACCGTATCCGGGGTGGTGTCTGAAAGATAATTTTTAGAGATTTTGAGAAAGTGGTAACCCAGAGAGAGATAGAGAGAGCGAGAGAGAGCGAGAGAGAGAGCGAGAGAGAGCGTGAGAGAGATAGTGAGAGCTAGCGAGAGAGGAAACGAGAGAGAGAGTGAGAGAGAGAGAGAGAGAGAGAGAGAGAGAGAGAGTGAGAAAAAGAGAGATTCTTGGAAGTTTCTGCGCCTAGCATCTAAATAACGAAAAGCAAACCGGGCAAGAACCAACTTTTCCGCATCTCGTGCATCTCCTTGTCAGACCGGACATGGAATAGAGCGTCCGGATCGAGCCGTTCAAGCCGCATCGGCGAGAGTTTACTGTAATTTTTAAAATTTTCGTGCGAAAATTCGAAATTTTTAGCAGTGTGAATGCGTTCGCGGAATAGTGTTGTAAATTGCACGCTGCTACGATTTTTGAGTAGGCAATTTTAAGCGTTAAGCCAGTGTTAAAAGTAAAGAAATAAGATTGGATTAATAAAATTAATGTGTTAAAATGTGCTTTTTCAGCGAAACCCACTCCATATTGTCGACATGAATCGAGTTGGCCCTGGAATTTGGACGAATTTTTGCTGAACACCTATCTAAAATTCAAAAACCTTTGGAGGGAACGGAGTCGCATTTTACTTTTCAGGCGTTGCAGACGATTGAGGGACGGTTGGTTGCCTAAAACAGGATGTTCAATAAATTTTCTAAAGTTCAACTTGACACAGTTCGCAAATAACTAATTTCAATTAGGTTATTCTTCACAAAAAATTACCGATCTCGCTTCCATTGGTGATTTGGGACACTCGCCGATCACTGGGACGATGTTCAGCTTCCGGTAATCTGAATTAATAAAACTTATTTTGCATATTTCCCCTGAAAGATATCTGTTTTTAACTTTATAAAATGAACAACGATTTAATGTTTATTAACCTAACGTCCCAAAGAGAATAACGTACACAACTTGCGACACGGAGCCGACCAGCTCGCCAGTGTCGACTGGGGGCTTTGGTGGCCAGTTAGTCTGGAAAAAATATACTTAGTTTATTACATTTTTGAACAGCATACTGTAGTTCATTTAAAAAATTTCTTGATCCATGCAAAATATCCACCTACCTTGAAAATATCCATCTTTAACTCCGGAATCGAGTTACATTCTCCGTCGACGATGGCCATACCGGTCTGAAATTTGCATCTCTCTGTCTCTCTCTCTCTGTATCTCTCTCTCGCTCTCTCGCTCTCTCTCTCGTCAATCACTCACCGCAATATTTTTATCAATCAGATAGTTGCACTCAAAATCATCATCATCCTCGCCCATCGGGTTTAGAAGCGACTCGGCCACCTGGAATTTTCAACTCCTGTCTTCAATGGTCCTTTAAAAATGGATTTGTACACCACACTCCTCTTTACAGCACGCATCATTCCTTTCCTTACCTATTTTTGGTGAAAAATCCTGCTAAAATTTTAGGGACTTTAATACTGAAAATCCCAACCTTCATCCAACCGATCAAGCAGATGAACTGGAGGGCGGTGGTTACCGGGAAGTACATGTCAATCTGGAAGTGTAGGCTTAGAGAGACCAGAAGCTACACAGAGAGAGCGAGAGAGAGAGAGAGAGAGGGAGAGAGAGGGAGAGAGAGAGTGAGAGGGAGCGAGCGCAAGACAGAGAGAGAGAGAGAGAGAGAGAGGGGGGGGAAAGACAATAGGTGAGAGAGAGAGGGAAAGACAATAGGTGAGAGAGAGAGAGAGAGAGAGAGAGAGAGAGAGAAAGACAATAGGCGAGAGAGCTCGACAAACCGGCGATCGCAGATCAGAATCATCGATGATCCGGAATTGACGTCCAACGAGACATAAGTAGAAATAAACTCGGACGGCAAAGAAGACCACCTAAAACTTGAATTATTGTCCTTAAATAGGTATTAAAAGGTTAGAGACAATTACAATAATTTTTAGGAACCTGAGGATATGCCAATGGAATCGGGACCCAATCGAAATTGCTGAGAAGTTGAAGGCTCGAGCGGAAGGCTTTGATTTCCTAAAAAAATCTACGATATACGATTTCTCTCTGTCTCTCTCTCTCTCTTTCTCTCGCTCTCGCTAACTCTCCCTCCCACTACTCACATTAATGACATTCTGAAGACTCGGCTCTGAAGTGATCTTATTCTCCTCCCTCATCTTGTAGACGATCCCCATGGCCCAGTTGATCGGGGCCCAATATTTATTGTACGGCATGTCGATGCTGTCGAGCATCACCAGCTCGTGCTCCTGGAGGAAGCCTGAAATCTGTCTGATTCTGACGCTCTTTTTGGTTTCTATCCCTATCTAAAAGCCGTTTCCATTTTTTCTAAAGAATGCCGTCTTAATCTATATTTTTGGATGTTTGCTTTCTTCATTTTCCCATCAGGCTCAAATGCCAAACACTCCCAGATATGCAAAAGGGCCATAAACGTGGCCATTGAAATGTGCCCACTCACCAGCCTCGATGATCGAATTCATCGTGGGAAAACGACGGCGGACCCGCATCGAGATGTCGCGGAACACCAACACCTGAAAAACGGAGATGGGGTGGTGTTGATAGGAGTGTAGCGTAGTCTGCTATCCGAAAGGCTAACGCTAGCGACCTATAAATAGGATATTAAAAGACCGAGCAAGTCATGACAATACAGGTGTCCGAATCAAAAACATCCCCTCCAACTCGACGCAGAAGTATCGGAATGGTAGCTACACCCATCGAAAGCCCTTGGAACAGCGAGTTTGCACCAATTTTCAAAACAATAATTTTATTTAAATGAGCCATTTTATGACGCAATTAAAAACATTAAGGAAAGGCCTCAGCATCAAATTAACGGCAACTTATTGCGAGGCAACTTCCGGTCATTTTACTTGGGAAACTTAAGGCAAATTAGCTCGTATGCAACCACGAAGTCCCGGAAAATTTTACCAAATGGCTTGTAAAATAGCGGGTACAATAAAAACATGGCTTTGAAGATTGTTGCAAACTCGCCGTTTCGAGGGCTTTCGAATGGTGTAACTATCGTTCCGATCCGATACTTCTGCGTCGAGTTAGAGGGTTTTTTGGAGAATCTGTATGCCTTGTTTTTTGGCCGCGATCAGTACTGTAATGTAGTCTCCCATACTCTCTCACCTGTGTCAAGCAGATATACCGCACAATGGACCTCCTGGCGATTATCGTGTCGTGATCGTTGCCCCTGATCAACACCGAGATCGTCAGGGCTTGGCTGAAAAGTGGGGATTACGGAAAGGGGCTCGAATGGGTATTTTTTAAGCCTCCAAAAGCTATTAAAAGTGCCTATAATTCGCTCGTCCGGATACAAACTACAAAAACCCTTTAGGCCTTCAAAAACCAACTTCTCAACCCATCCCATATTGTTGAACACTTGTCGCCACCGATCCACCACCAGCGTCACGAAAAACCCGAGCATAAATGTCAACGGCAGTCGATCCGTATTCTTGTTCAAATAAAACGATAGCGCCTCGAAATCCCTGCAAAATATTACCTGCATCTCGCTGTTGATCGTGAAAATTATATCCGCCATTTTTCTGCAATTCTGAGGTCAGAATTTGGATAGCAAAATAAAGAGTCATCCCCTGGACCCAGAAAATCAGCACGAGTTTGAGCCGCAAGGATTAGCGAGAGCGAGACCGAGAGGGAGAGAGAGAGCGAGAGCGAGCTGGCGAGAGAGAGCGAGTGTGAGAGTGATGAGAGGAGAGAGACAGAGAGACAGAGAAAGAGAGAGAGAAGAGAGTGAGAGAGAGAAAGAGAGAGAGAGAGAGAGACAGAGAAGAAAGAGAGAGAGAGAGAGAGAGAGAGAGAGAGAGAGAGAGAGAGTGAGGTAAAGAAATAGTTGTCGTGACAAAGACTAGAGCGAGCGAGTGCGAGATTTTTTAGCGAAACTTGACGTACTATAATTGAATTAAATCGCGCTTTGATCGGCTTCAAAAACGAGGTGAAGACTTTTATAATACCTCTGCTGCTCCTCCGTCAAAAACACGTCGCTGCGGTAGAAGAACATAACCATGTAATAGAGTACTAACCATGTAAAGAGTTCGCCGGATACCTTTGCAAAGTTAAATCATATTTTTAAGCTTATTTTTCCTTAATTTTTGTCAGCAAACGTTATTCACTCGATTCACTAATAACAATTGAAACTTATTGTTACTCACCGACTTCCAAATAGAGCCCTTCCATCGAAACAATATCCGTGCCCACGTCAGCGAGCCAACAGAAGAAACGGCCAAATTATACGAAACCGTCATACTTATATTCTACGCATAGAAATCTGGCTGGTCGGATCGCTTTGGTCAACTAAAACACAGTGTTCGTTTTTTAATCAAGTTTAGTAATAAGACAAAATAATTTGGCAGAGCCAAAGAGAGAGAGAGAGAGAGAGAGAGCGCAAACTTAATGTGTTCAGAGAAGGGTCAGGAAGCTCCCAAAAATTATGTTGTGGCTGGAAAATAATGGACTCGACAGTTTGCTGTCTGAATCATGGGTCTGGAGGACTGAATTGACTTTCAAAAATAGTAAGCTGGCCGAAATGATCGTGCACAATACTCTATGCTTTTGTTCAGCACGTTAATATGAATAAATAATGTAAGTTAAGGGCTCTATTCCGTGTTTTGTTCAAATTGAACAAAAGTATCGATGTGGTGCCATTTACTATACTTTTCTTCTTAAGGTATTGTTCACCCCTTACGGGATCTGCGCCGATCCCAGCAGTAAGTGCAATGCCGGGCCGACGCTGTCCGGCGAGAAGCAAGCTTCTGCTAACCGAACCATTTCCAAAAATACGTTAATCTCGTTGTACACAATAGTGTACGTATCGGAGATTAAGCCGATAAGAACTGTTTACTAACATTGATCTTAGCCAAAGGCCAGAAGCGATGTAGTTGAAGCGGTGGGCGAATACTTGTGGTGGGAAGGTGGGCCAGGTGGGGGTCGAGTCAGGGCGCGGGCGGGGAACATGCAGAGTTCAAATGGATATCGGGTACTCAGCCACTAACTACGTTATTTCAGCCCGACAACGCTTGGATTAAAGAAGCGGATAGTATAATTTATCTGCTGTGTTCCTACGCGTATCGTAGCGTATAGAAAAAGGCAGTACGTTCCGTATACCACACTTTATCGACATACGTAATATCGTCGTTCACGGCCGTTACGATCTAGGCCTTTGCTACGCTAGCAGCGCTACCTTGGGATTTAAAGAGATGAGGACGGCAGAGAGAGAGGGCGCCCAGGGGAGAGACGCAGAGACATTTTCTTTCCCGCGCGTAATCGATTGACTTATGTCGCCCCTATCCCTTTAAAGGGCTGTCGAGTTACGATGTTGATTTGAGTACACATTAAAGGTGGGTAGAAAGATAGTGAAATAGCGTGAGAGAGAGAGCACGAAAGAGAAAGAGAGAGAGAGAGAGAGAGAGAGAGAGAGAGAGAGCGAGGGAGAAAGAGAGATAGCGCTAGAGAGAGTGAGAGAGAGAGATGAGGGTAAAAGAAAAGTCCCGCTGGAATCATCATTTTCTGGGTCATCTAAAAACTTTCCAATACCGCCCGGACCGAAAACTCCCAGCCTCCAGATGATGAGCAACGAAATCGACAGGCCCTCCATGTGAAAACGAGGAAAAAGGGGAAGAGGAGAAGTGGCTGGGAGAGAAAGAGCCGCTGTGGATGGCCTGTTGGCCATCCACAGGTCAATGTATGCAAAATCCAACCCCCCGGGTTTGGTCGTACAGGCAGATACAGCACTCTGTCGCTCGCATGTTTTTATGTAAACAGCGAGCAGCAGAACAGAAAACCGATTTTTGCGGCGGTAGAGGAAAAGCCGATCGAAATTTGGGTCTAATCAACGTCATCAGCGTCCAAAATTTTGCGTCAAAGTTGGTGGGGAAATCAGATCAAAAATTGCGCGTTCATTTGTAACGGATGTTACAAAAATTGGAACATATTTTTGTGTTTTACGCATGCCATAGGAATAAAACCAAAAAAGGAAAACCCTTAAACAGAGGGAAAACTGGGTTTTTAGACCGATTTTACTATTTTCCGCTTTTTATTGACATCAAAAACTGATACAAATTACAAAATATTGGTTTATTCAGCGAAAGATGGCAAAAATTGAATCGGCCGGCTCGCTCGAAATAACATTCACATAGATGACTCCGTCACATAAAAATGAGCCCCGGGTCCTGTATGTGAAATCGATGCTAGGGGTTCGTTCTAAATTCTGGTCAAAAGTGCAGTTGTACCCAGTTTTCGGGCATCGATAAGTTTTATCATATTAACTGTAAAATTAGCTAAAACATGCGAAATTTCTGTATCAAAATTATGCAAAAATAAAAATTCAGAACAATTTTAGGTGGAAAAAGTTTCAAAACCCCCCTGAGAATCTGTGTAGATGAGGCGGGGAATTTAGGGCACCAGGGCATCTACTCTCTATTTTTTGACTTTCCCATTACTAAAAAGTGTATATAAATATGTATGTAAATATATAAATACAATTATACCCCTAAATATCCTACTATATACAGGGTGTCCCAATAAAAAAGGTCACGCTGGCATTTTGCTATTTCAAATCCGATCGACCTGAAATTTTGCACAGAGGTGCGGAAGGGAATTCAAAATGTTCACAGAAACTTTCAGCCCGATCGGTGCAGTAGTTTTCGAGTTATAGCAAAAATAAACTTTATTTTACGTTTTTCACCTGGATTCCGCCGGAATTGAGCCCTGGAATGTAGGGAGAAAATGAAGCGCCGACCCTTTTTTATCCTAGGAATTTTTTTATTTCGCAAAATTCGGGTCGAAAATAGACTATTTAAGTATTTTTTAACAAGGGCTAACGACGCCGATGTTCAGAAGAATAAGGGATTTAGAGCCGAAAATTTATGTTAATTGTTGCAAAGTCCAAAAAAATAGCCGAAAAAATGAAGCTAAAGTGTGGGAAAAACAGTATTTTTACAATAACTCGAAAACTACTGTACCGATCGGGCTGAAAGTTTCTGTGAACATTTTAAATTCCCTTCCGCACCTCTGGGCAAAATTTCAATTCGGTCGGATTTGAAATAGCAAAATGCCAGCGTGACCTTTTTTATTGGGACACCCTGTATAAAAAAATAGTGTCTGTGTGTGTGTGTGTGTGCATTTGCATACAACTTCCGTCACCGTGTTCCAGTAGTATCTGAAGAAGGGAAGTACTTAGGGGTATGTTCGATACCTCATTAGGTGCGTAATGGGCTGGAGATGACTGCACACATATTAGATTTTACAAAATATGCGGTTTTCGACATTAAAATTCATTTTTTCATGGAAAATCGGGCACCCCTCTTTGTTAGGGAAAAATTAGCATACACCGGAAGTCGCGGTAGCCTATATAAAGGGACGGCAGGAGCATTTTTTATTTTTCGTCATCCGAATCCGCGCAAATTATGCAAAGCCAAGTATATCATGGGTGCAGACGGGTCCAGGGTTGAAAAGTCGCGAAGCGGCTTTTCAACCCTGGTGGTTAATTAAAAATTCAGTACAATTTTCGGCCCAAAAGATTTCAAAATTCCCGAGAACCGGTGGGAAATGATGGGAAATGACACAGGAGCGGGGTGTTGTCACGATCAAAAATCTAACAGTTCGGAGGAGGGTGGGGGGCTACGAGGCGATACCAAATACGGTTGTTTACCTAGACTCACGTACAAATGGGATGCGAAAACGGGGGGGGGACAATCCCTATACCCACATTTTGTCCTACTTGAACTCGTGCAAAAGGACACACGACTTGGTGTTTAGGTTTTTGAGACGAGAGGCGGGTGAGGTGCGTCAAGAAAACACCTTGATTGTCCGAGCAGCTACTGTCACGCTCCCTTTAAAATGTACTAAACGATACGGTAGACGTTAAGAAATCGTTTTATACGTTATCTCGAGTGTAACTACCTTTATAGATAGTTGTATTGGAGCCTAAGACATAATTAGACAGATTTTTCTATCTGGATTTAGAACTGAATCACACCGAAATGTAACAATGTCGGAAATTCATATTGCCGCAGTTATAAATGCCGAAATTCTGATTCTCGCAATTTTATAACGTGTCATCTTTAGTCTGTCGAAATTGTCACTGTGGAAATTTGCTAATATTAAATCCATTATCCATATAGGTTGACTAATATCAGCCTTGTAGTTGATTTTTATTAGATTGTTCACCCCTTACGGGGTGTGCGCCGATCCCAGCAGTAAGTGCAATGCCGGGCCGACGCTGTCCGGCGAGAAGCAAGCTTCTGCTAACCGAACCATTTCCAAAAATACGTTAATCTCGTTGTACACAATAGTGTACGTATCGGAGATTAAGCCGATAAGAACTTTTTAACGTTTATTCAGACAATGCTCGGCCCGGGGGCCGGATCAAAAGTGGATCACAATTTCGAGAAGAATGCATAGAATGACGCGCAGGTCATTTAGAATTAGGGGTTACAGCATTTTAGAGGAGAAATGATAAGAATCAATAAATCACCGAAAGATTTTAGATTCAAGTGGGGTGGGGCACGAGAAATTGACAATTTGAAAATGGGAGAAATGAGAATCGCTTCTTTAGGCTTGGTATTGACGTTGCCCGCAGACGTGCTCGATGTAGATGTCCTTGGACCAGCGTACCGCGTCGGCGACCATCAACTTCTTCATCAGACCAGCGTACTTGACCGAGATGGCGAGGCGGCGCAGCACTACTTCGTTTCCTTGATCCCATCCACCGAGCGGACCAACGATGAAGGCGCCCAGGAACGTGTCGTAGCCGTCCGCGTTGAACTTGTTGAAGATGTCGGCGTACTTGCGCAGCTTCCCGTCACGTGCAGATTCGAAGACGCTCAGGTCGTAGTTCTCGAATGACATTGTCACATCCACGATCGTCACACGCTTCTTGACATGGTCGATGAGGGCGAGATCGGGGCGTAGTTGACCATCCGTGCCGGGGATCTTGACGTTGACGTATTTTGTGGTGGTGTCGGGCAACTTGATGGCGTTGATGAGTCGGTCGACGATGGCATTGTGACGGAGGGTGATCGCATGGTTGTGGACTGGACAATGATTGAGCACATGGGCGACGCTCTCGATCGTGGCGCCACATCTGCGGCAGGTCTTGTCATGGTGATCACGGGCACGCTTGCATCCATTCAGCGGCACCACGTCGAGTCTTGCACGGTGAACGAAGCGCCAATCCGCAAAGCGGAGGAAGCGTCCGTCACGCATGAAGTGGTTGGAGCAGGGCTGGCGAGCGGTGATGTTGTAG